TATAGGCCTTCCCAATATCTGTATATTCCTGAGGACATAAATATTTGTTGCTTTTTTATCAGGTTTTCAGCCTTTCTTGCATCACCTCCAAATCCAACGAACCAAGTCCAGCCCTTCGAATTAGTTCGGAGGACTTGCTTCCCTTTGACAAACCTGACACTATGCTTGCGCCCTTTTCGGATTGCGTATGGTAGAATTGCCTCAATCCTATGGCTCGTGTCCGCATAAGCTACCTTTTTACAAATAAGATAAGATAACATTAAGATAAGATTTATTGAATTATACTTTTAGCTGGAAGGCTTCTTCGCGCCCGTGAAGGTACACTCTAAGCAACCCGGTAACTAAGTTACTACCAAGGGGAGTATCTATGTGACTCTACCGCATGGTAATTAATTTGGTATTGAGTGGTAGAAAATTAATTACCAGCTGGTAATATTTTCAAATTTCGCGATCGGGGTTACTATCGGTTTAGTAACAAATTGTCTTCCACTCAATAATAAATTAATTACAATGCGGTAGAGTCACATAGATACTCTCCCTGATAATAACTTAGTTACCGGGTTTCTTAGAGTGTACAATTAGTGTATAGATCTTTAGTATTGGGCTAACCTTTTTACACATAAATTTGGTCAGGTTGCCCATAAAATGTTCCGGATGATTATACGCGAGTGGGCGAATACGCGTGTACCCTTTTACACTATCTCTTTGTAACGTGTTTTTAGCAAAATTTGAAATTCCCGGTGACTTCGTGGATAGAAGATTTTGCAAAATTAAAACAAGTTGCGGAACAACCGAACCGATTCCGGGATTATCATAAAACTGAAACTCTTCTTCATCAATGGGGAAATAAAATGTGAAATTAATCAAGTCTGGAAATGATTTGAATTGACTCGTAGGAAATATTGGAGTTATCACTTCCGTAGTAAAGACAGATTTCCAACCTGTATTTAGAATCAGGCTGGACCAAATCCAAAGGCAAAATATAGTCTTATTTACCCAATTTAATTCAGAGCCATCCATTAAGATCGGCTTTTCAAGAAAGGCGCCGATCAGATTGATAATAATTGTGAGAAAAGGTTTCAAGTGACCACCTGCCGTAATTGCTGCCATAACGATGAGAAACATAACGGTTAGCCACCAGCATGCGCCATCTAGCGGGGAAATGTATATTTGGTACTTCAACAGGGCTTCGATTCCATCACACGTGATAAAATTATACTCAATTGCCCCAACTACAATTAGAACTATATTTCCGTCAGATTCTCTAAAATTGGAGATCGAGGCTAATTGGGGTATCGTGTAGGATCTTTTAAAAGGCAGACGTCCCATTTCGATTGATGAGTTTTGATAAAAGCCGTCCTCCAGCAGGATGAAGTCGAGTAGTTGGGGTAAGGTGAAAACTTTTAAGGAATTTCTTGCAAGGGTAAAGTACTCCGGGGTAAATTTGTCTAGACCATACTCCGTCATTAAATACTTTTCCACACCGCTAGGAGACCCGTATGTTTCTTTAAAAGCAAACGTTGCGGAACTCAAATCATTCTTAGATCTAATTAATCGTCCTAACTCGAGCGATTGAGCGTAATCAGAAAGAGATTTTTGCTCCATTTCCACAAGTCGAGTCAGGATTCGAAGCGTGTTCGGGTTGCTGGTCAGCTTGATAACAAATTTATGGTTTGATGGACAGTACAAGCAATAGTAGCGAAGTGTTTCTCCGGATCCAAAATCTTGTATTAAGAAAATCTTAATCTTTGCATAGGCCGAGGTTCCGTCTAAAAATTTTTTAACCGGATAAAATTCGTGTTTTGGCACGACAGCGACCAGAAACCTGTAAGATGTCGGAATTCGTAGAAACGACCAGGAAAAACTTTCCAGCTTGTTTCTCGCATCGTGATTTCCCATATTAACCAATCTTGCTAGGTCAAAGTAGTATATATATGAGCAAATTCCTACCGTAGTGTCGGCATTATTCCTATATTTTAAATTGGAAGGAAGCACAACATTTGAATAGTTGTTATATGCTGAGTAGAACTCAGTTGAGGACAAAAGTAGGACTGGCTGCCGGAATGGAGCAGCTTGGGATAAATCAAAGCTTGAAAGTTGAGATGAATTCTGTTCTAAAATGAAGGTCGGTATGCAAACACTGACCGTGAAGGTGTTGAAAAATTGTAGCAGATCAATTGAGGTTTCCATGATGACTTAATGAATTGATGTTATTTAGAAATATAATCAGTCATGTCGACTCTCTATTTAAATACTTGAATGAGGTCTTAACATTGCGAAGAATGATTTTGGAGGAGGATAACATAACCACTAACACAGATATTATGTATTAAGATGATATGAAGATATGACTACTAAATATGTTGATAAGAATATTAACCTAGATTTATTATCGCTTCCTTACTAGGATTCACTATTTAAAATCTTGTAATAACCTGTAATTCTATGGGCCGTGAGCCTTGTAAGAATTCTCAAGAATAAATTATTATTATATTACTATATTATGTATAACCAATGGCGATACGAAAATCAATTATTCCCAGGGATTTGATATTTCAATGCAGGAGGGAAGCAGACTGTCGATATTCATTAATAAATGTCCAGACAAGTTGTTCCAGTATCCCGAAAAGGCTAGATTCAACGCATTCTTGGTATGAGTGCCAAGTGGCGGCAGTCTTTTATTCTATATTGCTACAAGATCTATGCAAATAAATGCTACTGGATGTAACTATTTCGGATCGATAATACATATGAAGACACAATTGATTAAATTCTTTAGTATAAATAAAACTACTTGAACATTCGTCTATGTATGTATGTAAATGAAACAGCACCTGGAATTGTTACAGAAAAATGCCTGCACAATAACAGTGAAAAGATACGAGTTACGCCTGTACAACGTTACGAATATTTCCTCGGACGTTGGAACATCAAGGGGTGGTCAAACACCCCACAAAGTACATATTTAATTTTTATTTTATTTATTTTATTGGCTTATATTTAATTTTCCAGAACTTTCAAATTTTTAACAGTCTAATCAACGAATAATTAAATATTACATTTTAATCTTGTTTTAATGACCGATAATGCGTCATTAGCTGTATTTATTGATTTTCAGAGGTAATTTTTTGGCTTGAAAAATGAGGCCAACTGGATTTGCTACGTAGTCGTTCACACGAATTGAACACCATTATCATGAAAATATAATTTTGTCAAAACTTGAACTTCTTATTGAAAAGCAATATTTTTAGATCAAAAAACCTCGAAATACATATGCATTAACATATTTGTATTTATAAAAAGTTTAATGCATCTGGATAGAAAAAAGCTCGAACATGTACTGTAGGAAATATGTGTATGTAGGAAACCTAAAATATAGATTCCTGTATCGAAGAATCGGAAGTAGAGTTGACTTCAGGTTTACGTCAGCGCACAAAGTTCGAGACAAGTGTTGATAATACACAAATTAGCTTATGTACAATTAGAATTTAGCTCATTAAAATCTTAAGATTTTTTACTTCTTTAAAGGTTTACAATAATTTATGTTTACTAAATACCTATGTGTACAGTATAGCTCCTAAGTTAGATTAATTACAAACTATTTAATCTGATGATCACAAGGTTACGTGTCCAAACCATTCACGGGCCGCATGTCCGGCAACTGAGTCGGGTAGACCAACTACTGACCAAAAGAATGTAGGTATGAATTTATGTATGTGTGCATAGTTCCATTTTCACGCTAATTACGCCTTGCATCGTTATGTAAATATATACCTGCTCATCTCTCACGTGAATGGTCTGGTCCGACCAATTCAATCATATTAATTGCAAACTTATCTGATTCATAACTACTTGAAAGTGCCAATCACATCGCGTTAAATGGCATGCAAGTGAGGCGTGATTTGATCACCTATTTGCCATGTGACGTTGCAAAATCTGTATGCAAATACGTCCTTCCATAAGATTAATTAAATTCGGCATGTTTTAAGTGTTCTATTTTAAACTAATGCTAAATATTTGTCGACACCATGGATGCTTAATAAATAAATGCATACAATTTTTTTTGAGCTATTAAAAGAATGGTTCGAATCACACGTGAATGAGGTCATCCAATCCACTGCGTATTAAATAAAATTAGGCAAGATATATCACTGTCAAAAGTGACAAGTCAATTAAGCTTCAATCAGTACACAAGAATTTAATTACCGATAGCAAGTCCCGTTTTTGCACTCGGCACGTCACACCCCGAATTAAATGGGGTGAGTCGCGATTCAGTAAATATAAATACTTGTGCTCAATTATCGTGGTGATGGATGGATCACATTATGTCTCAATCATCAACAATGATAGTAAATATGTATGTGGGCTTCACCACAAATCGAATTATGTGATTGGTGACCAATTTACTTAATTTAAACTTATCTTATCTATCACAAATTCCATAACGGATAACCAGGGTTTCCAAATTAGTTTATGTACCTCGATGCGCACAAACGAATTCCAAAAAAAAATCTATAATTCGACTATTATTTTCATAAAATTGAATGCTATCAGTTGACAGGATTATAAATAAAGCTGCTTCTTAAACTCAAAAACTTTACAAGCTTTGTAAAAAAGGATTCGGTAGGATATTCGTTATAAATGTGCTTCTCATGCTTGGCACAATTACTACTTAATGTCACCACAAGAAATTAGGTATATCAACGGATTATCACCGACCGGTGGTTATAAATTTGGATCTACAGGATGCTGATCATACGCCACTACTCCATGACACAGCAGCCGCATGTTAAAATGTGTAAGTCACATACATAAGTCGAGTTAAAGAACACTTATTTATCACAAACGTTGGAACACTGTAAATGCCACAACCCTGAGTGCAAAACTGGATACCCTGGCATGTCAGAAAATAATGATGTATTGATCACGAGCCTCTCCTGTGTTTTATTAAATTGTGTGCGAGATAAGGAGCCAAGTATTTAAGGGGACGAGATCGCACCCAGTTATTTATTATTCAACCGACAATTCTATTCATCAGAGTTAAAATGTTCTCCCGGGCTCTCTGCCTTTTCGCCTTGGTGGCCATTGCCGCCTCGGGCCCCACCCACCCTAGGAACGTCACCCTGGTTCCAAAACAGACCAATAAGCAAATCTATATCCATTGGATGCCCTGGTTTGAGAATAGGCAGACAAATACCAATGGACAATGGGGAATTCACTGGACCATGGCCAACAGGTACATATTTCACGAATTCTCACTTACCTGTTCACATTCATTCAATACAGAATCAATAACTTATTTACTCCTTATTCTTCAAATTCATGAGTAATGAGTGAATAATTTTCTCAAAATTTTATTCATAAGTATTTGCTTCAATATTGATTCACTTCAAATTCATGTAGTATAAATGAACAATTTTATTCATTTCTCATTTTTCCCGCAATGCTTAGCACACGGGGTATACTAATATTGAAAAATCCTTCCGACAAGGCCCAATTTGAAATCAAATAAATTGAAAATGAACAATGAATGAATATATATTTTCAAATTTTGAATGAATGAATAATGAATGAATAGTTTTTTCCAATTGTTAAATTCAATGAATTTTAAATATATTTTCATTATTCCCAACTTGACTATTTCAGAAATCCCGACAACATCATCGGCCCAGACAACCAGCGCGAAATCGCTGCCCACTACTACCCCGAAATCCACCCGTACGGTTCCGCCGATCCAATCACCCTCGATTACCAGATCCAATCCATGAAAATGGCTGGAGTCGATGGGATCTTGATCGACTGGCCGGGAACCGTCCAGGCCAACGATTTGCCCAAAAACCACGAGAACTGCATGGCCATGATCAACCGACTTGAAGGGAGCGGTCTCCAATTCGGTGTCGTCTATGAGGACAGGAATCTCGAAAATACCGGCGACCGAATCGGCCAGGCCAGGCGTGACATGGAATTCGCCCGGGACAACTTTTTCAGTCGGGGAAATTACATACGATACAATATAAACGCCCCACTTATGCTCGTCTTTGGCCCAATTATTCTCCAATCGCCGAGCGAATGGGACCAAGTCTTTTCCGTACTTCCACAGAAACCTACCTTCTTAACGTTGTGGTATGAAAGTCAGGACGCTGGGGCAAAGTAAGTCAAAAATATTATTTTCCCCTAATTTGAACAATGCAGGGCTGTCTAATTAATCAAATTTCTGATTAATTCATAACTTTTTCATAATTTTCTTAAATTGTGACTTTTAATAATTAGAAGGACATAATTTTACCTCAGCAATTAGTCATTAGACTCGATTCGCTATTTGGGCTAATTAATTAGCCAAAAACATTTCAAAATAATGTTAAAACTGACGTCACTATTTAAACAAGCTGATTAACTAATTAATTAGAAAATTCGTCAGTAAATTTGCGATTTTCACTGGTTTTTAATTAATCAGTAAATTTAATTAGTTTTAGTGGTAATAACTAAATAAACTTAATCAGTAGTTAATAATTAATTCAAACATGCTAAATATTTAGCTAGCTAATTATGTATATAATCAGCCGTCCCTGCCCGTTTAGACACATTCTAACGTGTCAAAAATACTCATTTTACCCCACATTTTTTAATTACCAGCGCTCAAGGTGAATACGCCTGGATCTACTCCGACTTCATGGACGGCCTCAACAACTTTTACGACAACCGACCCCTCCCCGTCAAGATGGGCGTTGCCTATCCAGGTTTCTATGACTACTACCGTGAAGGCGGGTGGGGCGATTCCTACTTCTTCATTGCTCACGAGGGGCTAACCACCTTCCAACGCACCCTTAACCGCGCCCTCCAATCCGACGTGCCCATGATTCAAGTCGGAACGTGGAACGATTACGGTGAGGGCACCATGATCGAGCCTACCCGGGAGTTTGGAAACGGTTTCCTCAACATTTTGGCCAACACCTTGGGCGTTCCCGTTGGCGACAAGGAATTCAATTTGGTTAAGGAGCTTTTCTTCAGGAGGAAGGATGCCGAGGCCAAGAAGGACTTTGCCTTGACGCAGAAACTCGAAGAGGTTAATGAACTCATTAACTCGGTACAGTACGAGAGGGCCGCGGAACTTCTGAGAGCCATCTAAATTATTAATTGTAAAAAATTATGAAAAAAATTGAAATAAAATTGGAAACGTTTGCAATATTATGCAATCTAAATCGCAAATAAATACTCCAGTCTAACGTAATTATTTAACTATGTATGTAAGTAATCGTGTACACACTTTCCAGGATACTTTCGAAGACACGCTATACCTAGTCCAAGGGGCCGTTCATAAATTATGTAACGCAAAAATCGCAATTTTCTAGACCCCACTTAGGTGACTTGTTTCGAATAGGAAGGAAGTCATTGCAGCCGTAACCTCCCCCCTCTCTCGTGTTACGTTATTTATGAATGTCCCTAAGGCGTAACTAATTGTTACTAAAATTTATTTACAATACAAAACACATAAATATTGATGCAATTTTCTGTAAGATATTTAATTAATTTTTGCTTCACTTGAACACATTTACTTTTAGCTATTTGAACAGAATTTATCTTTAATTTGGGCAAATTGATGTGATAATTTGAATTTTATCTTTGTTTTCATTAATTTTATTATTATTTTAAATCCGTGCAATACATAGTCACCTACCTGCTCCATGAAAAGAGAGGTAAATCAGAGGCCATCAATGTGCAAATAAAATCCATATTTTTTTCTCATCAATGTTCCTCACAAATTCGCCCAACTTCCGCTTTTCGTTGGAATCCGAGCGTGTAAAGGATATTGAAATATGGTTCCACACAGCAGTCGTAGGTCCGCTCTTCCCTCACGGCCGTATTCTTGGTCACTTTGTAATTCAGATTATGAAAGTTTTTCATGTCGACGAGTGTTTTCTAAGAATTTGAGAAAATAGATGTGTATGTGTGAAAAAATATTATTTTTAATTTTATCAGAGGGACGTCATAAACGTAAAGTCGGACATAGTTCAAAACCGAGGTCCACGCCGCCGGTCGTACACGGCGAACCCCCGGGCCCAGGTAGAATTTTATGTACGGCCTACCCCGCAAATTAGTCTTCCAAAATAGGCGCCGCCAAATTGACGGTTGATGTGTTCGTAATTTACGAAATTTAAAATTTATTTAAAATTTCACTAATTTAAACTAATTTAAAAACTCAGGCGCCGAACTATTTAAACAATTTCAAATCGGCAGAAGTTTTATCGATATTTTTTCCCCAAATTTTGAAATTGACCGAATTTTCAATAAATAAAATTTCCTAAATTATGAACACACGCGTGTTTAGTCTCTTATTTATTCCTCTTACGTACATTATTAGAGAGTTCGAGACCCATCGTGAAACCGTCAAAGGTCCAAGAGCCGAACTTAAGGGTGCAGATTTGCTCCTCGTACGGGCCAAGGTTCAGAGTCAGGTTGCAGTAGGACTGCAGCCGGCAGGGCGGCACCCATAAAACTTCCCCGTTCGGATATACCAGCACGTTCATCGGGGCGCAATCCATACTCGGTTTCACACTTAAAATAAAAATGGAATACTAATTATTCTTTAATCATACCTGTTCACATTCATTCAGTCAATATAAAATTAATACATTATTCAATAAATTTGATGCGTGACTAAGTTTTTCAACATTTTTGCATGAATGAGCATTGAGTAAATATTTATTCAATTGATATTCATGAATAGTGAATAATTTTATTTATTCCTAAATTTTCGCACAGCTCACTTACTGACGTGGGTATACTGAGCAATATGAATAATAAGGGGAATCTGAGATAGCATGAAGAAAAAATGAATAAGACAAAAACATTTAATGCTTTTTTTAAATTTTGAATAAATTAACATGGAAGTAATAATTTTTGCAATTTTTAAATTGGTTGCGTTTTGAAGAATAATTTTTTGAATAGTGATTGGTGCGAATTTTCAAAATCTAAAGATTTACGTACCCATTGTACAAGGTGATATCTGGCAGCCAAACTTTCTCGGCGGGAACACGAAGGACGTTAATGGCAAATTCAGACTCGTCCCAAGTTAGCCGGTTAGTCGAACCAAATCTAAATTTAGCAGAAATATTGTCGGGTATTTTTCTTCAAAATTTTTCCATCTGTTTTCTGATGAAGCATTTTAACGCTACTGTGGATGACGCGTTAATCTTACTCTATCCCAATCTAATGTTTTCAAATGAAATTTCTAATTTTAGGAATTTCATTTTTTTCAATTTTTCTCCAAAATTCTATTTTTTGAATCCATTCCATAAAGTAAATGCATCTTTTGATATTTTAATCTCAAGCTAATTTTTAGTACTACAAGCTGGTCGATTTTTAAAAAATTGGAAAATCCATTTTCGAGAAAATTGATTTTGAAGAATACCCAGGGAAGTGGCTAATTTTTTTCTAAATCGACTTGTTTGTAGTACCAAAAATTAGCTTTACATAAAAAATATCAAAAGTTTCATTTACCATTTCAAAACTCTGAAAACGTTGCAATTTTAGAAATTTGCATTTGCAGAGTAGAGAAAGGTAGAATAAAAAAGAAAGAAAGGTAGAAGGTAGAGTGAGACGAATATGTCCCATACAATTTTATCATCCAATATAACCTTAAGCTACTATTTACCATTTTCATCCATACGTTCGTATTCATTACATCTTTATCGGCATCCTTTTAATTGAATAAATAATAAATTACTTACATAATTGTAAATCAACCACAAAACAATTTTCAGAATTATTTCAAAATAGGTTTTCCTTACAAAGTTGACATCCTATAGAGCCATGCCGACCTGGACGGTGGTATTCTCCGCGTAGTTTTCCTTTATATACGTGGCAAAGAGTTTATCGAAAAGCTTGCCCCGCACCACGACCCCGGCATCTTCCCGGGTTTTAAATTTTGGCGGAACTTCGTCGGCTTCTATAAAAGAAAAAAAATTAGAACTTATTTCTCAGAAAATAAATGCAAACATTTGATAATTTATCTTGCAAAAAAATCCACAACTTTTGACAACTTATTTATTTACCAGAAACAAGTGTGAAAATCTAGGTAACTAAATAATTCAATTCAGAAAAAAACACGGAAAGTTTGACAATAGTTTTCGAAAAATACAAAAATCCGATAATTTTCGTAACTTACGTATTTCACAAAAAAAAACAAGTGTGAAAATGACGGTAACTTATTCCCATGGGAAAAATAAACATGCAAATTTTGGCAATTTTTTTGCAAAATACAAAAATACAAAGTTTTGACAAATTATTCGGCTAAAAAGACAGGAAAAACGATTTATGTATAATATTTAACTCATCATAATTGTATACATATATGCAATATTTACGTATTTTAATTCTTACTCGAGCAAGCCGCAAAAATTGTGAGAGTGACCACGCACAGGAAAATTTTCATGGCTTAGTGAATTTATAAATTTCTTCAAATTATTGCTAGGAAAAACACCGTGATTATATATTTCTACCGGAATGAAATTAATGTCTTGATGCACATGGCTTTTTATTAGTGAAGTCAGCTTGCCATTAATATGTACGTATGTATCTGAGGGCTTGCCTCCTGGTTAATAAATGTGTAATGCCCAATTTAATTTGATCAGTTTTAATTTAGATCAATTAAACGATGTGGTCTTTAACAGTGTAACAGACCAGCAATTTTTTGTTTTTTTTTATCGAAAATCAGCGTGCGTTCATTTCAATTTGTGTATATGGTAAATTTAGAATTTAAAAATGCAGACATACTTCATAAATATTCTAGTTTTTGCTAATTCTTTTTTCAGTCATGGAAATAGAATAGATAGATAGATAGACAGTTTATTTCAGATTGATTTGGCGTCAGCCTTTACAATCACAAGATAATTATTTGAAAAATATAATAATTATGATGATGTGTCTTGGTCTGATTTTTTAGGGTGTAGTTATAATCTAGTACATAGATACTAAAATTAAACTAACCTATATTAAATCTAAGTTAGCCTAGTTTAACCCATAAATTTAAATATCAATATTCTAAATAATTTATGACAACAGAAAATGAGATATGGTGCTTTCAATTAACAATTTTGAGCATCAGCAACAGGTTTAAGGAATAGATAAATGTTTTTCATAGTTGTTTCATTAGGTTGAGACAGGTATACTATTATATCTTCTATTTTAGTATAATTTACAATATTCATAAATTTATATCTATTTTCATCATATTTGGAACATTTGAAGAGGACATGGATGAGATCTTCAGCGTCTCCAGATAGGCAATTTATGCATACTGGATCGACCGAATTGTCATAAAAATGGCATAATGCGGCTAATTTTACTGTTGTTCTAGAGCATGTAAATTGTGCCATATTAGCTCTGCATTGAAGTGTTGCTCTTACTAAAGACCATGAAATATTAATATTTAAGAAAACTTGGGGGTTTATGTTTGTATATATAAGTTTGTAAATTGGCATAGATTTACTGTTTTGCATTTTATGAATATCATTTTCAATCGACAGATTATATATTTTACGGATACATGTATTTATTTGTAACATTTTTTGTGAGCATGCATCTAAATTATACAGTTCAGGTATTTCATCTAAAATATGTTTACATTGCCAAGTGTCTAACTTGTGCACAAGTATTTTATACCAATTTGACTTGATACCAGAAGACTTGATACCAGAACCTGATTTTTGTGAGTAGTGTTTCGAAGATTCAAAACACTGGCATGGAAATAGAATAGTGAATCTAGTGTGTCAACATATTTAATTACGTCAATTTGTCTGGATATACATACAGTACACACAAGATTTATTTGTCCATGCTTATTGACCAATTGACCAGCACAATAAATTAAACTGCAGTTATTTATCGTCCACAATAACCCCGACTTTGACCTTAACCTCATGCATTCTGTGACACTAATCTACTCGAAAAACTTTCCACACTCTGAATACATTAACTTCCATCTCAATAAATAAATAAATATTTTGCGTAATAAGACGAAGTTTGATGTCAGCAGTGCTAACTAATTTTTCCCATTAATTAAGAAAATCACTTTTAATATGTACGTATGAAACAATTAATTAATAAATAGATGGACTTCTACTGTAATGGGTGTTGATTTAATTCGTCCCTATTTTTCTTAAGTATATATTTGAAAACTTGTGACTCCAAAGTGGTGAAAACCTGGGATTCTTCTGGGGAATATTGTAATGTTCATGATTAGTATTTACTTATCTTAATTCTAAAAAGATGGTAAAATTTTAAACAGAAATTTTAGCTGGTTTGAAACTTATGCGTAAATATGGTTTGAACCCAAAAAGCCATCATCATGACGAATTAAATTAACACCCTTTATTAGTAAATGTACGAAATCAATTCTTTAAAAAACACCATTATTTAATCTATTTCATGAAATTTAATCCAATTTTCTATACTCCTTAAACCAGCTTCAAAAAACTACACAATTCCAATATTTTCAAAATTTACATGTTAATTTTCTATGAGCATTGTTATATATTCAGTTCCATTAGAGAGGTCGTAGAATGGGACAACTTATGTATTTTCTCCTTAATGTTTTTTGCAAGTCGCCCCTCCTTCCGGTTTTCTCTGGAATCTCAGGGTAAAAAGGATGTTAAAATAGGGTTCCACGCAGCAATCGTAGAATTTCTCTTCCCTCACGGCGGTATTCTGGGTGACCTCCCACTTCCGGTTGAAATAGTCTTCCACGTCGACGAGAGTGTTCTGAAAATTAAACATAAAGTTAAATCTGTTACTTCTCAAGACAAAAAACTTTTAATTGTCCAAAAATGATCATATTTTTTTGCATTTTTAAAAATTCATAAATACAATGAAAATCTAATTCTAATTCTTCAATCTAATCTAATTCTAATAGATTTTTATAATTTGAGGGAAGAAATTCTTAGAGAAAAATGTGTTTAATTTTTGAACTCTGGTTAAAACTTGAATAGTTACAGCGTTTTGGAAAATCCAGATTTTGGCTAAATTATTATTTTTTAATTCCGCTGTGGGCGAAAACATGAGCATTCTGGAAAAGCGAAAAATTCTGGTAAGCTTATTTCTGAGCGTGAAAAATTTAAAGTTAGTCCGATTAAAATCGGCGATAACCACCTTGCACCTCTCCATTGTTAGTATATTTAGTATTTTTTATATAGAACTGAACGTGCATTTAGTTTAAAAAGGGAACATTATTTTTAATAGTGTAGCAATTTTCCCCTTACATTTTTATTATTGTAGAGTTCCAGTCCCATCGTGAAGCCGTCAAAAGTCCACGAGCCGAACTTAAGGGTGCAGATTTGCTCCTCATAGGCGCCATGGTTTAAGGTCAGATTGCAGTAGGTCTGTAGGTGGCAGGGCGGCACCCACAAAACCATCCCGTTCGGGTAAACTATCACATTCGTCTCGAAACACTCCATGTTCGGCTTCACACTGGAATAAAATCAAATTAGAAACATACACAATTAAGGCGGGAATTTTGAAAATCGAAATATTTCTTAACATACCCGTTGTACAAGGTAATGTCTGGCTTCCACACTTTGTCGGCGGGAATGCGTAGTACTCCCACGGGAAATTCGGCCTCGTCCCAAGTAAGCCGGTTGTCCTTCCACAACTATTTTTTTTGAATAAATTAAAGATTACAGATAAAAAAATAAAATTTGTAATAAATTTCCTAATTTCTTAATTTCTGATTTTGTTTAAAGCATTTCATTTCATTTCAAAATCACAGATTAAAAGTTACTTAAATCTAATAAAAAATTTCAGAAAAATTCATCTGAATAAATTTGTTAATTTTGTAATTTCTAATATTTTTAATTAGATCAAAAAGATACAAGAAAATTTCAATAGATTTCTTTTTCAAATTTGTCGCAAAAATTTAATAATATAGTAATTTATTTATTTTTAATTAAAGCGTCTAAAACTTCCTTACCATTCTAATCCAAACGTTCGTATTCATAATATCGTTATCGGCATCCTTTCAAATAAAAATTGAATTCAATTAGATATGTAAATTAACTTTAAAATTTTTTGGCGATGAATGTTCCCCTTACGAAGCTGACATCCAGTAGGGACACGCCCACTTTGACAGTGCTATTTTCCGCATAGTTTTCGGGCTTATAGGTGGCAAAGAGTTTTTCGAAAAGCTTGTCCCGCACCGCGACCCCGGCATCTTCCCGGGTTTTCCATTTCTTTGGAATTTCCGGGTCAAGTTCGGCCTCTGCGATAAAAAATCGAAAAATCAGTCATTTATTCCGCTCAAAGGCATACCTGTTCAAATTCTTTCATTCAATACATAATAAATAAATAAATTCTTCATTCATTATTCAATACGTTCATGAATAATGAGGGAATGTTTTTTATATAAATAAATGAAAAATGAATATTCATTTAATTTTTAAAAATTTCGTGAAGAATAAATGTATAATTTAATTAATTCTTCATTTTTCACTCTAATAAGCCAAATTTGAGATAAAATGAATGAAAAATGAATAAATCCTTAATTCCAAATTTTGAACAAATGAGTACCGAAGAAACGTTTTTTTCCAATTTTGAAACTGAATATCGTCGTACTAATTCTAAAAAGAGATAAGTACAGCTGCTCCTTAATTTTAATCCAGCTAAGTGCAGTCGACGGTTAATTTTACAAGCAGCTATGTGCACAATAAAAACTCGTAAAAACAGCTAACTGCAAGTCCAAAATTATATGAGTTAACAATTGATTAAAACCGTACTGTAAACCGAAATGTGAATATTTGGACTGATAAGGCTAGCTCCAGCCGAATATTTGAAGTTTTAAAGCCACTCCCTCGGTGGGTGTGGTCCTCGTCGCCTATACTAAATGAAGTAAAACATGGCATGCAATATGTCTTTTTTCTCAGGCAGATGAGGCAATCCTGACAGAATATTCAAAATTTAAAAGCCACACCCTCGCGGGTGTGGTCTATATGAAGCTAAGGAAGCTTCTAGCATGTAGCATTTGTTTTCCAACCAGATGACGCAAGTCCGACAGAATATTTGAAATTAAACCCCCCTCTTAGTGGGCGTGGTTTTCGGCGCCTACTCTAAGGATAAGTAAAACTGGGGTTCAAATGTCATCTTTCTCAACCCTGTGGGACAGTCGTGGAGTAACTATAACTGCTTTCTAAATTTAAAAACCACACTATTTTTTCTAGGTAATGACGTATTTTTATGAATTGGTTCCGCGAATGTCACATTAAACATAGCCTACAACACGTATGGGGGTGGGCGTGGTTTTTAACTTTGGATATATTTACGTAACCTAAGGAAACGTGTGGAAACACCGTAGGACTGAAACTTCATGCTGTGTTATGTCTAGTTCAACAGGGGATAAAAATTAAAAGCCACGCCCCCTGAGGGAGTGGCTTATAGATTTTGAATATTCTGTCAGGATTGCCTCATCTGCCTGAGAAAAAAGACATATTGCATGCCATGTTTTACTTCATTTAGTATAGGCGACGAGGACCACACCCACCGAGGGAGTGGCTTTAAAACTTCAAATATTCGGCTGGAGCTAGCCTTATCAGTCCAAATATTCACATTTCGGTTTACAGTACGGTTTTAATCAATTGTTAACTCATATAATTTTGGACTTGCAGTTAGCTGTTTTTACGAGTTTTTATTGTGCACATAGCTGGTTTTAAAATTAAACATTGACTGCACTTAGCTGCTTGTAAAATTAACCGTCGACTGCACTTAGCTGGATTTAAAATTAAGGAGCAACTGTACTTATCTCTTTTTAGAATTAGTACGACGATATGCAATAAAGAAATATGTTTTCAACATTTTAGAAAAATTAAAAAATTCTTACTCGAGTAAGCGGCCAAAATTGCCAGCGTAACGGCGCACAGAATAAATTTCATGATTCTTTCGTAAAAAAAACTCTTTTCAGAAATCTCTTGCAAATTCCGGTCTTATTAAGTGAATGAAATCCATGCGAAATCTACCCTTCTTTTATACATAGCTTAATTGACGTCAGAGTGATGCAGATATTTAATAAAGTGTTCAACATTACGGGGGCAACGGGCATTTTTTAATTCAACTTGATCACTTTTAATTGAGACCAATCAGTGGACAATGTACATGCAAAAAGTGGTGAGTTTTTTCATCGTTTTAATTTACTCCTCTTAAATTTATATTTACATATATTGCGTCGTCGACTCACGTCATATGTAGCATGAACAAATTAATTGGCACGTTTATGTATTTGCAATTTGTAACTTACATACATATGTATGTATGAAAAAGAGCTACCAGATTTCTGCCAATTGACCTCCCCAAAAATTCGGAATTCATTTACTCGTTCAAATCATAATCAGATTTTCACAGTGAAAGATACTTGCAAATCCTTTATTAATACATATAGTACATTGTCATTTATCTATATATCTCCAATAAATATCAACGTATCAATATTTTTTTTTCATTTCGCCCTACATATGTGTGCGGTATGTTGAGAAATTCGTCTATGTATGTAGATAGGTGAATTTGGGATGAAATTAATAAAAAGGTAAGAAATACAGATTTCTTTTCAAGTTTTGAATAAATCAATACTATGTAAGTAAATAATGCTATCGACACATTTAGCTAAATGAATTTTGAATAAATACCATGTCATATTTATGAAGAATGAATGAATAACTATTTTTTATTGGTTATTTATCAGGCTATTCTTAGTAAAAGGGGTATACAATAGTACACATATCCAAACATCTAACTAACAATGGAGGCGCAAACCATGTTCAGCCCAGATTATTTTTTGACCATGTTAGTTTGGAAGAGCAAGTCTTAAGAAACCACATTTGGTTCACCACTTGCGCAGATGCGCAAAATTCAGCACGTTATGGGCGCCACGAGTTCGCAAAACGCATGATTTTTGATGCAAAGTCCAGAGCGAGCTCACCCTCGACCACTTTTTGCGAACTTGTGGCGCCCATAACTTGCTGAATTTTGCGCATCTGCGCAAGTGGTGAACCAAATGTTGTTTCTTAAGACTTGCTCTTCCAAACTAACAAGGTCAAAAAATAATCTGGGCTGAACATGGTTTGCGCTTCCATTGTAAGCATTATATTGGTACTTAGGGGAATGAAGGATTAAATAAATAAAAATTTAGTAGAAAATAAATTTATTTTCTCCAAATTTTAAATAAATAAATAATAAAGGGATACTTTTTTTTTAATTTTTAAATTGAATACATTTTGAGTGCATTTCCATTTTCATTGGTAAAATTATTTTTAAGAGTATATTTAGGCAAGTATTTATTCCTGACGCTTACAGCTCATTATTTTGTGGTGTAAAAAAATCCACAATTTCCTTTCATTTATATATGTAGCAATTTGAATTAACAACTCAAATTTGGAAAGGTATTTAGTGAAAATATGCATTTCATAAGCAAGATTTTTAGATTTATATATATAATAACATTGTGTCATGGTTTGTAAATTTACCAAACAATTTTTGCCATATTTAGATAATTTCCCCTTGTTCTTGGTAACAGTAACCTTTTAACATATATTTAAAACATTTTCTCCGAAGACCACTAATTTCGTAAATTGCACCGATAAAACAGGCTGAGTACATGTGCACTCCTCTAAAACTTGTTGCTTGAGCAAAATATCAGGAAACTTGCCTGCATTTATTTATTAAATCGGCGTCTTGAAGGACAAAGTTTACGATGCTAATTGGTACCCTCTGGGTAGTTTATTTCGTCAAAAATAAACTAATTGGACTATGATTGTTTGTCGCGTCGCAACTCTGCCCAACCAGAGCAAAGTTACGAAGCCGTGCTTTTACGATATTGACATGAATATCCCCACCATGTACATATTTTGAAATGTATCGTTGCTACCCAAATATTTCCTGGCTAGACGGAAATTTTATTTATTTTAAGTTCGCATACATATGTTTATAGGCATGCAGCCCACACATGCTTCTCATACGTACATCATGGAACCCCTTATTAACCGTATTAACCCGGAAGAAGGAAGGTCAGTGAAATAGTATGTGAGATTGTAAAACGGGATAAAACCCAGAAATAAAAAAAGTAGGAGATATGTATTTATTCTCCGCAAACTCATAGATACTTAGTTGTTAAGTTTGGAGTCCCACACGGTCATGACCTCGAGGAACCGCTGGACATTTATCGAAGCGAGCAGATTTTAAATTACTTACGGTAAATATTGCTCTTAAATTGATATCTATATTAGTATATTAAACTTCTAACTTGTAAGACTGCGAAACCCTCTTCAGGTTCAAGAATATTCACATCCATATTGTTGGAATTCTAGGAAACCATAAAACAAACAGGCTCACCTAGCACAGAAACAAAAATGTGGATTCTATTAGGATTATTACTTATTCTGATCCCAGTTCCGTCCAACTGCGTCTGGAATAAACCTGATTTATTCAGAAATTGTCACATCATTCTTTTCACCGTTCAAAATAATCCAAGTAGAGGAAATGCCAGTAATTTTCCTCCGCCATATTTGATAACCTTGTTACGTTCAAATCCATCCAGTCCAATTACTTTGGCTCAACTTCGCATTAAAAACCCTAAATTGGTAGACATCCTAAATAAAGGAAATTCACCCTATGGTTTCCCGACTTACTCAAGGATGACGTTGGTTGTATTTCTTCACCTAACTCCCACCAAATTTGGAGGCAGACCGTATCATCGCGCTATTTTCAAATTATACAACCCTTCCTTCCTCTTTCAACATTGTTCCGACATGTTTACAACGTCAAATTACGCTTCATACGAGGAACGTGTTGGAACAGCCAGCTTGGTGCTTTTCAATTTTAAGATTCCTAATAAAATATTTATTCCATGCATATTTTGCGCCGTCTCGTCTACCTCGAAAGTGCTGCACTCTATTGGAGAATACTACTCCCTTCCGGAAATTGACAGGGCGTGGGCTCGCGTTAATAACAACCTTCAGCAAAAAAGAGTAGTCCTTCTCGGAAATAACATTTTGATTGTGGGCAATCAATGCGAGACTAAAAGATTTAACGTTAAATTGTCAAATTTTAGGAGTTGCACGATTGTCTCACTCTCAAAAATACTAAACTTTACTGTAGCCACTTACCGGGCATGGGAGCCATCCATATATTATGTTTACTTTAACTTAGTTACTGGTAAATTTAGAAGAACTTACGTTGTTTATCATGTTCGTCGTGAAATGGTCCAATATGGATTTGTTACCCCCTTTCCTACAGCGTTTAACGGAATGAGTGTATTCTTATCCCCATTTGATAACTTGGTTTGGTTGATTTTGTTCGCATTCTGTGTAACAATAACGTTAATTGTGGGACTCACTGAAGCAAAGAACTTGGTCAGAAATTTCATTCCAGATTTCTTAGACGTCGTTTGCATTCTGCTCGGTCAAGTGAATGGGGACAGTTTAAAAATGTTTCATAAGAAGAATTGGACAGCTGTAACCATACTCACGGTTTGGTTCTTGGGTGGAGCTTACATAATCATGGGAAATTTGTATACTGGATCAATATTCTCATTTTTAAGTGGAGTAAAGTTACCCATTTTTCCATCAAACTTGGAAGATCTGGTAGCTTCTACCATTCCACTTTTTACGACGTCGTATCATTCGTATGCACATACATCCGGTGGGTACAGCTCGAACCTCAAAAAACTAATTATTCCACAGCACAAAAATTTATTCGGAAACAGGTCAAGCTTTTTCGCTACACTTGAACGCTTAGACGAAAAACTTTTCTTCATTAGAGCAACAACTGAGTACCAATATTTTAAATTTTTGGCAAACATTGATAATTCAAGACCATTAAAGTATCTCAACAAATCGATATCAACAAGAAAAACATTTGCAATTATGGATGTAAAAGGGAAATTGATTTTGACAAGTCGATTACTAAGATGGAATGGTAGTAGATTAATCATTCCGGGAGGTAAAGATACACCACTTAGCATCATTACCTTTGGGGCAGCCAAGAAAAGCTTTCTTTTACCAATATTTCTTAATAAATTGAGACAATTATCAAGCTCCGGTTTAGAAGAAAGGTGGAATAAAATGGAAAATGTGTATTACCCTTTAAGATTGCAATATCTCAGGAATAATTCAACTTTTCCAGTTCATTTCGCGAGAGCTATGGCGGCTGAAAGAGAACCAATCATGTTTTCTGAAGCGGATCCTATTTCGTTGGAATCAGTGGTCGATGTATTTATTTTGTACGTCGTCTTACTAATTTTTGCATGTGGATGCATTCTTATTGAGTGCAAAGGCGTCATAGGAAATCGCATTATAAAATGCATAGTCTGTAAATTAATTAAATTCTGTGTTAAGCATTCACGTATTTATGAATTGCACGTATGATTCTTACGTATTTTCAAGTACAAATCGCACGATTTATTTTCAAATTGATCTTACTGCGTTAAATAGGCATTACTATTTCCCCATTTTACATAAATTGTGTATTGTTTATGAAGTATTCTGCTTGTAAATAAATTACCATTTATTTAGTAGCATTAATATAGTTTAAATTTATTTTTATGTGCTAAATATTTATTTAATTAATAGACTGATCGCTTGTTCAAAAGAAGACGCGGTACCACGTAAGATGAAATTTAATAAAGTTTTTATTTCAGAAACAAATTGATTTTTAACAAATAATTGGAACCTACGTTAAATTTACACCAAAATTATTCTTCAATGTCGCATATTTTGATGAAGGCCCCAGTTAAACTTGACTGATCACGAAAACTGCCGTGATAAGTAATTGAATCAGGCGCGAGCTGGTAGTGACACTTCCTGCCGTTGTACTCTCCGTTGTACTCTCCGTTGTTTCCGATGTCGTTTCCGCTGTAGTTTCACTTCCCCCGGTCGGTTGGGTAGCCGTTGTAGTTTCTCCAATGAGAAAGTATGCCCTGAACCTGTCACAGTGTTTGTAATCGTTCGTATTGGCGATCACCATGTCACAGATGTAGTCCAGCCGACAGCTGCTTGAAGTACAGGAACCTCGCACGTCAGAATCCTTGTGGTAAAACCTACCAGACAGAAATTAGAAATTTTGGTAAGCAATTATTACCTAATTTTAAATTTCTAATTTTTCAATCTTTCACCTATGATAATTCGCGAACAAGTCCTCATTGAATAACATCCGATACGCCAGATCGTCCAAATCTTTAGGCCTAAACGATCCCATATTAAACGTTTCTTTCGCCTTGTACATCAACTTCCATGGCATCGCTCCGTTCGGCTCGACATTAGCGTTCGCTTCGGTCAAGTTGTAAATCCAGGTTTCATGATCCATTATCTCCCACGTGGAATCCGCACCTCTCCCGCCATCGACATGGTACACTTTGAAGCCAGGATTTAGATTTGTATGGGCCGTGGTGGAAGCCCCGATGTACAACGAATTCGCCGGTCGAGCTGGTCTTGCCGAGGAATCGTAGAAAATCTGAACGGCATCGTTGTGCGTGTGACCGTAAAATTGCGCCATGATGATAGCCTCATATCGGAGGATTATTCGTTCAAACTGCGCACTCCACGTTCCCCAACAGCTGCCCGAGCCGGGTGGCATGTGTCCCAAAATGAAAACCTTTTCATTGCTCACTTCTGCCGCTTCTAGAGTATCCGACAACCATTGAAGTTGACCTTCTGGATCGTCCAGCTTATATAGCAGCCAAAAGTTCATGGTATATCCAAAGTTCGTGTTGATAACGACGATCCGCAAGTTGGTGTCTTTATGTTTAATCGTGTAATACCCAGTTTGTCGGAATTGTTCAATGGCGACGGGATCTTTGATTTGGTCCGCATATGCTTCCGCGAAGGCGTTGTACATCCAGGATTTGTCGAAGTCAGAAACATCCCAGACACTTCGAGGTGGATATAAATTGCAGGGGTGAGGTTCGTGATTTCCTAAGACGGGGTAGACTGGGATGGATCTGTCGGTAGGGAAGAGCCTGAGGAGTTTGTCATTCGTGGACTTAAAGTGCTCAAGGTTTCCGAGAAGCGTGGTGTTCCAAACGTTATGCGGCGGAATGTCGCCCGTCATCATGACGAAGTCGTAATCCTGGAGAAGAATAAGAAAATGCCAGAACACTAATTATATATTCATTTAGTGCTGTTCTCGAGCTTGGGCCAATTGCGAATAGCTAAGCTAAGCAGGATTGAGCAGAGTCGCAGCGCAAATGCATGTGCACTAGTTTAATTTGAATTTTAAAGCTTAATCTAATTAAATCGCTCTGGCTCGTTAAAGTTCAAGCTCGAATCGGGCAGCATCAGTACCTAAGCCCGGCAATATTACCATCAGGTCGAGCAGAACCGGGGTCGAGGCGATCAGCTTGGCGCATAAACAACACTAAATATTTTGCAAAATATATTTTCCCTGCCAAGCTTCGAACCCGAAGCTCTCCATTTTTTGGGCTCTTTCCTTCAAGAATTATACATATCGTCGTTGAAGCTGCCAAAGGAGCTAAATCCATTTTGTGTTCAATGCCAAAGGAGCCTAATCTACCTAACTTAACATTGAGAAGGCTCCTTTGGCATTTAACACAAAATGGATTTAGCTCCTTTGGCAGCTTCAACGACGATATTCTCCATTCACACACCGGTTGAACTTTTACAAAAATTGAGAATACTGAGAAACTACTTCAAGTCTCAAATACCCACTAACTATACTGACGGGGGATTTTGAGACTGGCAGAAAAACGTAGTTCCTCAGAATTCTCAATTTTTAAAAAAGTCAACCATGTGCGAATTGAGAATATTACTGTTACTAACAAGGAAATTATTACTTACATAACCCTCAATCGCCGCGGAATATTCGAACAACTCGTTCATCGCGGAGATGGGCATGTCACACTTGAAATCTCCGTGCGGTCCCGCACTTGATGCGTCGTCCACTCCGTCCGCCTCCCAAGCTTGACAACACATGGGTTTCCCGCATTTCGTATCCTTTCCTGCCACGTAATCCAGGTCGAGATGGATATCCGTTAATTGGAGGACCTTCACCGGCACGGTGTTTGCCGGAACAGGGTCAGGATTTAAAATCGCAGGTTTGTCCCCCTTAATTCTGATGACCCAATTGTAAAACTCCTCCGTTCTTTCGCCATCGCAATCTTCACCAGATTTTCCCAGAAGGACTAAACACACATCGATAGCCTTCAATTTGGGATTGTTGTCCACGATGTAGTGAAGATTTTCCTAAATCACATTTTTTAGGTTAGGAAAATTCCGCAATTTTAGTAAATTGTTTACGCAGAGAAATGAGCATCGAATTCAAAAAATTCAATGTAAAAGTATTCATAAAATTACACCAGCATTTATAATTTCTTGCTCCAATTTCTCAATGTTTTTACAACCTATTTTTATGTTGTATGAAACACCGATTATTGAACTGCCCTAAATAAAGTTATACTTTTTTTTTTACTATAATTTCGAAATAGTGTAAAAACCAATTATTATTTTTAAATCTTATAGGTAAAAATGTATAAAAAATTCAAAAAGAATCTTTCGTTTTTGCACGATTATGAAATTTTATAAAAATACAAAAAGGAATACAAAATGAATGAAATACAAAAAAATACAAATTTCATCGTCAACTTGAAACCAAGTTAAATTAACCCCTTCTATGAATAGTTTCAATTATGTAATTAATTAATTAACTAAGTACGTCACTGATTAAATAATTAAATATATGTTTAAAAACAGCACGCATCTTACCGCGTACATGTCGATCGCTCCGGTGCAAACGTCCTTGTGGAGGGCATCGATGACGTCTAACGCCTCACACGCGAGGAGTTTCAAGATGGCGACGATTCCCCCAATGTCTTCAGAGGCGCGCAATAACTCTATCACGACGTTCATGAGGACGCGGCAGGCGAAACAGGGGACGGAAGCGCGCGCTGGTGTGGGTGCGGATAAAGTGTGACTAACCACCCAGGATCGGACCTCGTCACTGTGTTCATTTAGAAAATTATGTTTGTTAAAGTTCAAAATGAAATAAATATTTTACTAAAACACAGAAAGTAGAGATTAAAAATTTACACAAACTTAACCATTTTCCAAAAAAATGTTTCAATAATATGTAAATTTTGAGTGCTTAGGATGACAGAAAAGCGTCAAAAACTTTAGAAATATAAGATCTAAATTCGCTTCGGGGATGATATTTTGTAAATATTTATACAAAATTGTAACCTAATTTTACAACTTAAATTGGGCTAAATTGTTTAAACATTTAAGCATTTAAAAGGGCAACATTATTTTTAAGAGTGTGTAATTTCAATATTTTGTTCTTACTAATGTTGTATCAAATTGTCTTGATATTCCAGTTTAACCGGTAATTTCCTCACAATTTTGATTTGCTCCTCACTCATTTTGGCGTCTGTGACCACAACCCCAATCGCGACCAGGAGGACGACCCATATTCCCACGGATAATCTCATGATTACGGAATGAGCTTTTAACTCTTACCGAGACTAGTACCCAGTCAAAACTGGGCAGACTCAATGGCACATTAACCAGATGAAGTGCAGATGAAGTTGCGAAATTTTAATTACAATCGATCTCTCAACAAGGAAATTATTACGCGCATGTATTTGATCAGGGTTCGCCATGAATTATTTTGCTCTCAAATTGATTAACCTAACAATAACCTAACCAAACCTCAATTTGGATTTCTGAGGATGGTATGATGGACCGTCCACATATTTCATGCGTCAATTTTTTTCCCAGCCCATCTATATCCTATTCGTGATAAGCCTAACATTAACTAGATGGGCAAAGCAATACACCCATCTTTCGGACGTCGTAATGATGCATGTTCCTTAAATCTGGGGGACTTTCGAGGATTGAATAACCATTTAGGAAATTTTGCAATTAATGCGTACGTGGTGAATTTTCAAAAAAAGTTTTTAATTTCTTCATCACTTAGACAATTCTAGCCGTCAAATAAAATCAGGTGCAAGAAATACATGCTGGGCACGTGAAATTCTAAAAAACAGCTTGTAGTTTCGCGCCCTATTTCTTCCTCAACTGAAAGAAACACAAGAAATGCAAATTGGCGCCACGTAGCGGAGAAATGTTTACTTTACACTTAATTATTTGCATGGTGCTTATTCCTTGCAAGAAATTAGGTACTTCAAAAACAATTTCTTGTAGGTTGTATTTTAAAATTTGCAAATTGCTCATCTAAAAATTGCACATGCATAAATTCGTCCACTTCCTGGAACCCTGGTTGCCCATTTGCTCGAATAATTGTCACCTTGTGATAATCCAACAGATAAAAATAAATGGTTCGACACTGGACCAGAATGTGTGGGCACGGGTTCAATTATTTTTCAACTTATGACATATGTATCAATCAATCACTTGATTGGTTATCAGCTACAAATAAAATTCCCATTCGTCATATGTTATTCCTCGTGCTGGGTTATCTTTGATGCACACTTATCGACAGGGTGTGTAATACAAATGTAACATGCAAAATTTGTATTTTTTAATGTCACAAGTTCAATTATGTCTGTATGCCTCAGCCAGGAAATTGACTCTTATCCTTGTTTTAATAACCTTGCAAACTTCTGTACATATTTAGATAATTCTGTGTCAATTTTATGCACTTCATTGCCTAAAATGATACACCTCAATATGTATCGATCCACTAATTCTCTTCCGCAACTATGTATGGTCGAGGCATTAAAATTCATTCTGTTATGTATGTACTTCCTACAGTACTTGGGTAATGTATTTGAATGGAATTAATCAAAATTAAATATGTTATGCAATCGGATGAATTATGTATAAAAAATTGTGTAATTCTATAATTCAAATTACCTAGGCAAAATTTTGTATGTACGTACATATGAGTGTAAGAGTGTAAGCCGATATTTATACATACATACCCTTAACGGTTAAGTATACATATGTACACTCAAAATAAGGTAGTGAGGAATCATTACCATGCGGAATGACTATGTGGCTCTACCATGTCGGTTAAGATTTGTCGTAGAAATGGTATTAATAAGTTCAGGGAAATTCAAATTTAATACATAATGGTATTCACTTCCTTAATATTCGGAAATGAATTTGAATTTCCCTGAACTTATTATTACCATGTGTACGAAAAATCGTAACCGACGTGGTAGAGCCACATAGTCATTCCGCATGGTAATGATTCATTACTACCTTATTTTGAGTGTATATATGTATTTATTTATAATAATAATGTAATAATGGATACTTTGCGATACAAGATTACGTACACATGAAATGAATGACCTAATTTCACAATTATTTATTATTCAATTCGCAAACATGTAACTCTTGCAAAGAAACTAAATAAATACGTACTTACGTACTTATGTACTTAGGTACATATGTAAGTGCATATACCTATGTATACACAATTGGAAAAACTATTTGCTCAAAAGAAAATTCTAAATATATATAAGCGGAACAATAGAGAAGTTTCCGATTCAATTTGTCTGTACATACAACAAAAAAGTTACGAATAATGCAATGCAATATTACATCACGATCAAACATATATTTTTTTGCTTATCTTTCTTTTCACAATTTCCAGTTCCTTATTAATGCGTCTTACCCACCAATGGAAATTGATATGTGCAAAATCCTATTATTTTTTTAGTTTGGAAAATTATGTACATATTTTGGGAATCTCAATAAAACTTGTGACCCGTCAGCACCTGGTGTATCTCCCTCCATAACATCAACACCTTAATATCTCCTTGGGTACTACCTACTTGCTTATTAGGAACCGTTCATAAATTATGTAACGCGAGAGGGGGGAGGAGGGGTCTGAGAGTTGCGTTACAAGATGTGACGAGGGGGGAGGGGGGTCAGAATCTTGCGTTACGTCACGCAAACTAAAATTGGCTAAAATCAGTAATTGGGTAAAAAATAAACACTGCGGTTTGAAATTTTAAGAAAATTAGAGCCCTCCGTGTTGTCGAAGATTTGAAGTTGTATGTCTCTTAAACGTTCCATTGCATGTGTGTTTTGAAGTTGAATTCTTGTGTCTCAAGTTTCCTTCTTCCATGTACTCGAATTTCGATTTTGAAACTTGTTCATCTACGTGGGTTTTTTAAGTGAAGATTTCATTGCATGTAAAAGTCGATAATTTTTTAGATTTGCAAGGTACGAGGTTACAATGTTGACATTTTCTTCCAAGAAAAAGCAGAAATAAAATAAATACAAATTAAGAAGAAACAGTTAAATATTTTCTCATGGAAGGAAAAATCCAAATTCTAACCTCCTACTTTGCAAACCTAAAAATTATCGAATTTCAGGTACAATTAAATCTGCATTTTAAAAAACCCATGGTGATTAACATGTTTCAAACTCGCCATTTGAATACCTGGAAGACGGGCAACTACAGACACAAGAATTGTAATTTCAAAACCCGCATACAATGTCACCTTAAGATGAGGCTTCATGTTCCCTTGAGGAGAACTTAAAATTAGTTCATCACCGTTCGCATTTATCTTCACTGAAGATTTTTCAGTGAAATTTACATGAGCATTACTTTAAAAAATTATATATTTTTAACTTAAAAAAGTTATGAAATCAAATTTTAGATCACAATTTCTCCCTAAAAATGAAGCAAATTTTTGAATTAAATTTTTAATTAAAACAGAACATAAACTGAAGCAAAACCTCAAACAAATCCTAACCAACAAAGAAATCGGGGTAATACGTAACATCTGCTTTTTGCACGTTCCTTTTGGGTCTTTCATTTTTTCTGAGAAAAATGAGATTTTCGTTACGTTACACAGGGGGAGGGGGGCTAGTGGTCTTGCGTTACGCTAGTGTGACAGAGGGGGGGAGGGGTCTGAAAAAGTCGATTTTTGCGTCACATAATTTATGAACGGCCCCTTATCCTACTTATTTAATTAGGAGAATCGAAATTCGACAAAATTAGAAATGAAGACCACCATTCTACCCGTTTTCCAAGTGTGCACATTTTTCTCGAAAGTAGTTATCTCCAAAGAACGTACAATCCATGTCCCAGAAATTTTTAAAACTGTGCAAAACTGCGATATCGCCATTCTTCACGATGGTTTGCAAAGCCTAGACTTCCACGAGGATGCCACTATTTCACCAAAAACGATCATTTTCACTCCAAACTATTACCACCACAAATATATATTTACTCCAAATATGACGCTATTTCCGTTCTCAATAAATACTGGAAAAGCTAAAGTTTCTCCGTGCAGGTTGTCCATTGTGAAAACTTCGCAAAATTTTGATCCCGCAACCCCTCTTAATTTAACCAGAGCTCGAAATACTTTTTACTTCGCGACCGAAAACTTTTTACATTTCCGGTTTGGACAATATTTGAGGTGGTCAAAGTCGACAAAAAACGTTTGGGTATTTCTTATAACGACTTATTCGAAAAGAAAGTTGACAGGATTGGAAAACTTCTACAAATTCGTAAATTCTTTGTATCTCGAAAATTTCGCGGTAGTCTTCAAACTTGATAAGATACAAATTTGTTTAATCAGACAGGAAGCAATCTTCAACCTTTCAGAGGCACGTTGTACCACAGAAAGGGATCTTAACATTATTCAAAATTTGAGACAACCGCCCAAACGTTTCTATACCAGTGTCGACACTTTACAAAACATTGGATTAGTTATGAGTGGACAAGTTAAGTGTCAAGATTCTGACTATACTGACGTCAATTTGATGAAAATAGTGCTCCAAAAGGCTAATACAAGTTTAACTTATATTCTCACTTTCCACACTGTGTTACCAATCTTGGCGAAAGGCCACTTGGGACAATTTTATGCAGAAAAGAAACAATTTGTTCCAACGGGATTTAATGGTTTCGAATTTTTCTCATGTTACTCCGAAAATTGGATGACATTTCAGTTCTACATAGCGCCATTCCAACCCTGGGTGTGGTTTGGAGTGGTCGTGTCAACTACCTTGGTGGTAACTGTGATCAAGCTGTGCAAAATAATTGAGGGGATAAGTGACACATTTTCTCCGTGGTTATTCCTACTCGGCACGCTACTTGAGGAAAGTAGTCCTATTCCCGTCAAGTTAAGAAAATCCGCCAGTTTTCGATTAGTAGTCGGTGTTTGGGGCGTCATGGCAATTTTATTGACCAACATTTACAACGGGTTGATGATCTCGGAATTAAACTCGCCAATAAAAGGAAGCCAGATCGATGACATTAATGGTCTCGCGAACAGAATGGATGACACAGTTATTCCTGAGAAGCTGGTGCCCCTTGATATATACGCGGACGTTCTTATGGACCTATTTTATAGCAGGAATTTATCCAGCATAGTGATTCCAAAGTTAAGTTCTCCGAGGACTTATTTTAGTCTCCTATCGCACCCTCAGAGAGGACAAGATATGAGTAAACCAAACTACATCTTTTTAAATTACTTGCTCTGGTGGTACATTCCTTTTAGAGGACTAGGAAACTTCAAGACGGTACCGGAGTTAATAACCAAAAATGATCTTGTCAGGCTGGCATT